TCTTCCCTCAGTGAGCCCACTGGTCTCATCCATGTGAGAGTTGTTTTCTCCTGCCGTAAAAACAGGTCAGCTCCAGCAGAGACAGAAATCATGGAAATATTCACATTTAAAATCCACCGGGGACTGATGTTATTTTCAGATTTATGGAAACAAGCGGCTGAAAGATACACCTAATACGTAGTAGGCAATAACAACAACTAGAACAATATGATAATGTATTTAAAAATTCAAGATTCTTAGAACCCGACATGGTTTTAATTCTGTTGAAACAGGAGATTACTTTATGTGATAAACTTCTGGCTCCCTATATATTTGGTATTTAGCTATCTCTACCCACCATATTCGATGAATGGTAAATCACAACCACCAAAATGAAATGCAAATTTTTCAAAGTCTTAAGCATGTGAAAGGACATCAATTTAAGCTTAAGCCTACATCAATGTCTTGTTTCAGAATAGTAAAATAGTCTTTCAGTCTCCTGAGCTACTATTGCCTACAGCCACAGTGCTATCAGAGCATGCTGTGGCCCCAGAGATTTCAAAAAGAGAACTGATGATGGCCACCAGGTTAACGAATAACTTCTGAGGCATGAGGATAAAAAAGGAAAAAAAGAAAATAGCTGATAGCAAAAGCAGGTTCTCTCCCCTACAAGGAAGCTTAATCCATGTCACTGCTTGGTGTTGAGGTAAGAGAAAATGCTGGGAGAAACTAAAAATTATGATTCCTTGTTTAGATCTATTGAAACTAAAATAAAACAATCAAACCAAAATATTCGACAGCAACAAACAGGTTTTGTCCAGGATTCAGTATCAGTTTTCTATCATATTCCCATTATTAAAAAAAAAACCAACAAAAACCAACAAACCCCAAACCAAACCACCAAACTGTATTTTTCCTGTCCACCCCCATACAACCCGTCTAGCTGCATCATTTGATGTTTGTTGACAGCTAGGCCAACAAAATGGCTGCACTTCATGTAGATGCCAGGGCATTAACAGATGTACATAATATGTGCTCTTTTTGGCAGACTCCCTATGGATGGAGAGATTTTAAATTTTTTTCTGTTTGTCACCTACTGGATATTTCTGTGTATCTTCCATTCACTGGAAATAAAGCAGCGATGAGAGCAGCAGAATGATAAAAAGATAAAACAAGCAAGCTATTAAGACACAAACTAATACAAATGAACTGGCAGTGAGAGAAGACAGACCTTAAGCGTACAAAAGGGCTGTGCAGCAACATGCTCCGACCTGTGCAGTAAAGATGTAATTAAGGAAAAAGAACACAGCCTCCTTTGTGACAACGTGGACTTCATCTGGCTGGCATGACTGCTGCCAAGGGAAAAGCAGCTGCAACTTACTTCGCAATTGTACCGCAGAGCAGACCACACTTATGTTATTTAACCAGACGTATTTATTACTGGGATATACTGGTGTCAGTTTGCCCCTAGTGGTTGTGAATTGAAGGATAAGGCTGCTTCTGACATTGATTACAATTTCTCGTGAAGGTTTTTCTGATGGAAATATTATCAGACGGGCTATTGAATGAAGAGTCGTAGCTTCAAATGCCTTTGTGCCAGAGGTGCGCATAAGAAAAGCATACTCAACATAAATCCTAACAAGTCACTGACTGAGGAATATCATCCTGATTGTCAATGTCCTGCTAGAGTGAATTCAGTAATTTATAAATTGCATAATGAGAAATCTAAGAAGGTCTAAAGCAGACCTACGCTACAAGTGGACTTTTCATTTCCAAGTAGTTCCCTGAAGTTACTCTTGGTTGATTTTAAGTAAAGAACCTTGCATATTTGTTATTTCTTGTTAGGATAAGGTTTGACCTAGACAGATTAGTATCATCTGGACTTAAAAATTTGTATGAGTTTATAAAGTTACAGCACTTAACACTGATTGCTGTAAACATTTTTTACATAGACAGGTTTGTTCTTTATTTAATCTTTCCTTTGCTGACCCAAGAAAATGCATGTGAAGGAGGGAGAGAGAGTTAAGGCTGTGTGAGTCAGCACCACACTGCCCAAGGGAATGAGTAAAATACATTTTAACTAAGGGAGGCACGTTGCCTCCCGGCATTTATGCCTCTTTCAAATACTAATAACTAAACAGTTAAGGACTCTCTTCTTGTGTAGCATGATTTTAATAAATTCTCACAAACCAGGTGTACCATTAAGAAGGAAGTGACATGTCAGCAAGAGTTAAGAATGTACAGCTGAAGGGAATACCGGGATATGTATTTGAAATCTGTTTTTACATAGTCTTGTATTTTATATGATGAAATTGAAAACATTATTACGACGTAATACATGTCTTTTTTCATTACCAGAAAGAAGTCAATTTAATAATACGGAAATGAGGGGGAGGAGTAAAAAAACATAGTCTCCTCTCACATTTTGAGAACCAAGGACTTTTGTCATGATTTGTTAAGTTTGACCTAACTCATCTGCTGGAAGAAGCCTAATCATGCCAAACAGTGCCTTTCAGCTTTGACAATTTACTGTAGCTATTTTAAAAAAACAGTGGGAATCAAAGTTAGCTGTCTGAATGCACCAAAACCTACAAAATTAATTCCAGAGAAGACAGTAACTCCCCAGACAAGGTAACTTCATCTAGTCTTAGAAGAAAGCGTTTTTAGAGAATGTTAATTCGTTTTAAGCTATTGAAAACCTCATAGTCTCCTATACTGCTAGGGCCTTCCTCTATGTTTTCATGTAATATTATTTGGATCAAACAATTATCTTAGCACTTATGAATTTAAAATTACTTGCTCTTAACAAGAACCCCTGCATTATGCATTTTCCTTATTTTCTTTCTTTCTTTTTAAAAGAAGTATATCAAGTTACATCTTGTACAAGGTAAAATGACAGATAACTTAATTCACTGGGACAATGGAACATTAAACATTATGGAATAATAAACATAGTCTACTAGAGACTCAAATACTCTCTTTAAAAATGAAAAAAGCCACTTTAAATATTTACCTGAGCCTGTAATCTGCACATTTTTTTTAACGTGCATTTTATAACATTGTGCTTGGCTAGCACAAACGGTATAGAGCTGAGAAAAGGAACACTTCAGGCAATAACTGCATTAGCTAATCTGATACCATAGGGCTGGAAATTTCTCAGCGATGAGACAATTAACAGAGGTTTTGGCACCACTCTTCCTCTTTCATAAAGAAATATCTGAAGACAATTTGGAAATTAAAAAAAAAAAAGCTGCTTGATGAGGCAGATAAGCAGACTAATTGCACTGGATTTCTCTAAAGCCTCTCTTACTGCTGATCAGCTGCTGCTGCTGACTCATACACAACACCTAGCCTTGATTCATTTTTCTTAAAGTGTATCCATTTACTTGTTCCATTAAAGAATGAGTAAGTAGCTTTGTGATTACTCTTTTCCTTAAAGCAATTTCAAGTCTGAGGTCCCTCAGGGACTTAATTCAGATACCTCTTACAGTTTATAAGTATGCTTCAGCGATACAGTGATAAAGTGCAGAACTGGTGTTTTTCTGATATCCAACTTACATTCATAATTCATACAGGTACAGCAGGTGATAAAAAAAAAATTGTATCTTGTTTACACTTAATGATAATTCCAAAAAGCGTTTTTCAACTTTCAATTTGCAAGAACTCCTCCCTTAAAAACCCACCCAGGCCCCTTAATCAGTGATGAATCTGACTGTGTGCACTTCTAAAACGAGCTTACTGCAACTATTCTTTGCATTATGACTATATTTCCAAGTACAAGTCACAAAGGTAGTGAAAACTGGTAGTAACAGCTTAGAAACACTTTAACAGTGCCCCTCCCACAAGGCTTTCAGGACAATAAGGATTGATTTGACTATTTCCACAACAAATCGTGAAGCCCTACAGTCACTTTCATCAGGACTTCACGTCCCTGGAACCTTCCTCTTCTAGCAAGTTTAACATCCAAGCTCACTACTAGCCAGATATGCCAAGATTTTCTCAGTAATACCATACGATCTAGCCAGGTGATTTACAAGGATTAACAGCTTTATGTAAAAAGCATATGACAATCCTTGCAATAAAATAAGAATTGAAAAATTTGTTCATTGGGATTACAAAGTAACAACAGTATCAGCAGGCAGGCTGCAAGATCTAAATTATTGTCTTTGTCATCTAACTTCCACTGTTTCAACAAATCAAATGACTAAAACACAGCAATTATGCACCATCGTGTTCATATTAGCAGCATTAACAAGAAACAAAAGAAAAATTCAAAAAGAGTAAAATGCAACATAATGTCATAGAGGAAAAAGAGAATTTCTTCTATCAGGCTCCAAGGAAACACTGTTTAGCAGGAAAAATAAATAATGATTAAAAGAAATAGACAAGGCTGATCAAGGCATTACTAACAAAAGCATATGTAAATAATGTCATATTATACACAGGTGGTGTGGTTAAGAGCATCAATGTACAACCACTGGTAACAGTTTTAAGAAGAAAACAGCAGCTGAAGATCACCAAATGACCTGATAATTCAACATTTTCAAGTAAGGACTTCAAGAGGCTAACGAAGAGTGGAAAATGCCATTCCTAAACTTCACGATAGTTAGTAGGTTTCTTTCACTGAACAATGAAATTAATGACATCAAAATAGCAAGCACCAAAGCACTCAAGCACTTGGTGAATACTGAAAGCAAGATTTCTTATAGTAAAGCCCATTGTTCCTTCTTTTGATAAAAGCATAATGCATTTTTGCCTTATCATGGAAGTGACAGTGTTATTAAAGCCCATCAGTTCAAGGCTATCTCACAGAGGTCAGGCTGCAGACTGCAATTTAAGTCCAGGCAGGAAGGATAAACTGTTCCCAAGAGTAGGCCATGTTGTATTACATACGTAACACAAGAATGATTCATATGACTTAAGAGGTTAGGGAGGATATCAGAAGTATGTATATTAACTGACAGATACTCTCAGATATGAGGGTGAAACATTGTGGTGGGTTTGTTGGGTTTTTTTTGTGGGTTTTGTTTTTTTTTTAAAACCAAATACAACAATAAGGAAATGGAAGAGTAAGATGTTACAGAATTCATTCCAAGGCAACTATTCAATCTAGATGACTTTAGTAAAAAGTAAAATCTAGAAAATGCACTGTAAAATTTAATGTTGCAAGGCCTATGACAGTACCTATTGTATCTTTTCCAGGCTAAAATATAGTAGTGAAAGCTACCAATATAAAATAAACTTTTATTAATGATAGTGCTTATTTATCAGTGATAAAATCGCCTGTGACCAAAGAAAGATCCCCATTTAACAAAGAGCACTTTCATGGCAAAAAACATCCCAAAACACAAAGTCACTACGAATAATCTCAGATACACTTTTCCTGCTATAAGTACCTAATACTAAAAATACAGGGAAAAAAAACCATAGACAACTCACGTGAAAGATGATTAAAAGCTACCTGGTGTGCAATATGAATTGGTTTCCAAGTCACCTTTACAAGTAATAATATTTATAACCTATTTAGAACCTCAAGTTTAATCCTCAAACATTCTGTGCATGTGTATACACACATGTGCAGAAAACTAATAAAATATTCTATATATATGAAACTTTCTGCTCCTTACAAATAAAAGTTCAGGGAATTGTTCATATAGCTCATTTTGGACGAGTTTCATGCTTCTTTCATTATAAACAGAGTAAACTCAGTTCATATCAGCTGAGAATCTGCAATTTTTTTTTCCTATTCAACTTCAGTATTATTGCTGCAATACTGATGCATTTTGTTTTTTCAACCCGAGAACTGTTCAGTGAGTTGCTGAAACCTAGAGCATGAAATGCAACCTCTCACTGTTTAAAGTTACAGGCAGCTTCATTTACAAACGTATAGCTGTATCTGTTGTACAGTATTTGAAAATTTACCTTTCGGACTGAAGCCAAACGATTCATCATTAAAGACTCTTCTCTATCATCATCATCATCCAAGTCTAACATGGGCATGCTAAAGCTATCAATAATACTGCAGCACCTGGAGTTTTCATCCCTTGGATCAAAGGGATCCACAATTATTGGTTCCGTTCCTTTGATTTCACAGCGGCAGAAAGGACAGCCTTGGCCATCAGATTCCTAGAGCAAGACAAAAAAGTACATACATTTTCAAAAATAAAAATAGACATAATTTTAAAAGTAGGTCTTATATCTTTCTATACAAAAGTGCCCTTAACAGGTCTCTAAGAGCTTGTAAAAAACCACTGGAATAAACAGGAAACAGATTCACAGATTTTTAACTACAGTAAATGGTAAGATGACTGCACTTTTAAAACTGTCTCTCTTCAAAAGATTAAGCTGCACTTAAAAATAGATAATCAAAACGCAACCATTATCTCTACAAAGCACCAAAATTGTAATTGTCTTAGTATTACAGGTCTGGAAGTAACACCTTGCCTTTTAGGATTACAATTTTTCTATTTCTTCAGAGGAAAGAAGATGAGGTTTGTAGACAGAGATAATGCATTTTACTATATATCTTTAAGTATTTATTTTTCATTTTAAGTTAGAAAATGCAGATGAGCTTTAGGGCATGCAGCTCTTACTCTCTGAAGAGAATATACAGTCCACCATCATGTACAGTCCATCACGGCTGCAACATTACCATCATACACTGATATGCATACAGAATCGCTAAAGCTACAAACATTTTTTGACATGTTTAAGTAACAAATCAGGACTTTACTACATTTTCAATAAATTATATAAATCAAGGAACTATTTTCACATGTTATCAGAAATAAGAATTACTTGAATTTTAACTTCTAAGTGGTATAATGTGTTAAATGATTTTCAAGCAGCCATATTTCCATTCCTTCTACTCATTTCAGAAACATGTTTTTCCTCATCAGAAGTAGTCAAAAAGCCTTTAAAGTAGATTTCAGACTACTAATGATCAAAAAAATCAGAGAAGTCTTTCAAGCACTTATAAAGAAATTTTTCCATCAAGAGACACAATGTAGATTTGAATTTTTAAAAACAAACAAACAAACAAAAATCACACCCAAAAGGGCTATGAAGCTTTGAGAGATCAAGATAATTCAATCTGAAATCAGAAATCACATTGTGTCATATTTGCAGTCAGGTAGACAGACAGCTAAAAAGATATGAACACCAAAATCAATTCTACCTACCTATCCTGAAATATCAAACAAGCACAGCTTTTTGATTTCCCAGATGCAAGGACAGCTTTAATTTTTTTCTAGCATTATTTTTATCTTGACGCTTGCCAGTCTTACTAAACTGACAAGTGATTTTACAGTTTGTGGAAGAACTGTATCCCAAGGCCAGATAACTATAAATGATGTCGCCTGACAAAAGTCATGTCTATTTGCATGGTTAGTACTGGATTTTCATTTTGTACAGAAAGATATATGTAATCTACTTTTAGCAGCCTTGCATCCTAATTACAAAGGACTAGTCAACATCACTTACTATGTCAAAAAGTGCCTCCAAATTACATTGGCCTACTGAAGTAATCACTGTCAAGCGAACAGAAGTCATCTTTTACTCATACAATTCTTTACAGTTTCATGTTCTAAAACCAGCCTTACAGATGAGGCGCAGAGCTTTTCATTTTCAAGGCTTTCTTGTATCTGTGTTGTCAAATAGCTCTGTACTAGCAGTTTCCTCTCTTTCTTTTCAAAAGCACTAAGTTCACCAAAATATATTGGGTAACCAATCACAGCAGCAGATACTTGCATTCAACAGTATGAACACAGCTGAGAAATTAAAACTGAGATGTGAGATGTCTATATGAATACACACATCTGTCCATGCCCACAGAAAGGTAGTTTAGAACATGGAGAGAGTAGCTATTGTGAACCTTACAATGCAGCCTATATGCCCATACGCTTTTAGAATCAAGTCCAGAAAAGTAGTTTTTAGACAAGAACAGATTTCTGTGGAAGAAAATGACGTTTTACTCCTGTCACAAAAAGGAAACAGTTAAGTCTTATATTTGAGAGACTGGTCTGCATAAAGGTGGACAACTCCGAATCACCCTTAGTATTCTATGTAGATCCGATGTTGTTTACTCAATTTTTTTTCTGCTTAGTGAAAACATCTGTATTGGACCTCTTGAGGCCTGCCTAATGAGCCATTATGCTGCCAATTAAATCCCAGCCCACCAGAACCTTGCAACAGCTGACGCTGTTACAGTGTAATACTCCTTCATTGCCTCACTAATTATACAAAAGTTAAATTTATAATGAAGTCTAAAATGTACCTGGCCAATTACAGCTGGTTGCAATGTTGTGATGAAGCTTGATGGTTTTGAACATGTCAGTTCTCTGAGCCTAAATTGCTTTGTTGTCCTCTTCCCGAATCCCTAGCCATTGGCCAAAGTACTGAGGACCTTAGCTTCTCAAGTCTCCAGAATCAGAGCACATCACTAGCACAACACTGGAACATAACACTACCATGCTATGAGACACCCAGCAATCAAAAGTAGAAAGATTTTAGTCCTTTTGCTTAGTCCTACCAGCTAAGAAAAAAAAAAAAGCTACAGCACTCAATTTCAGAATTTTTTTAAAGGCAAAGATTAACATTGGCAGACCTCTATGTATGTCATTCAGAATGAAAGTGGTAAGAACAGAGAAAGGGTAACTCCTGAAATGAGAAATACTGTTCCAGCTCAGCAGCTGCTTAGTAGTGAAACAGATGTTCTCATTTGGGTATGTCTAAAATGGAATTTTCTCAGAATTTCTGATCTGTGGGCAATTTGAAAGATTTGCGTTTGGAGCATCAAAGTCAAATTTCAGAAATAACACAGAATCGGAAACTGAGAATACTCCTTTTTCAGCAAGCTTTACTGCTAATGGAAGAAAAATGATATTTCTGATACATCATGTTGGCTTGCTAATGATGATTTCTTAATTAGGAATTTGAAAAGAAAAAGCTACAGTTCTTTAAGTCATATCTCAAACACAAGAATGAAAACTCATTAACTGAGATGAACTCATTTAAAACCAGGTCAAAAATGGACTAGAGTGAAGGATTCTTTTTACTCTCCTCACTACGTTTGTACCCAAAGACTGGTGCCTAACTGTGGAACAGAGTCCTGTCTGAGAACAGGATGGCCCTTACTTCCCACAAAAATGCTGATATGACAGAAGAAAGGGGCAGGGAGAAGGAGGCAGAATTGATTCAGTTCGAGAAGCACCTACTAGGAGAAAGTCTGAAGTTGTAGAGAGGAATGACCTCTGCTTTTGATTTTAATTTTTAACTCAAGTGCATGTTAACTGTGCTGAACCAAAGGTACCAATCCTCCCTTTTCCCACAGACTGGTATATCCATGAACAAGACAGACAAAACACACCAACCTCACCATGAAATCTCTGTGGTTTTGGGGATATTCTGTAAATGACATTGAGAGATCAGACTTTTCCCTCATTCAATCTTACCCCCATTCAATCTCTTACCCCCAACAATCATCTAAAGCCAGGTGGTTTAATGCTTTATATGTTGTTAACATGAAGCACAAGAATCCTAAACTTATTTTTCCACAGGCCATTTCATGACTTGTACTACTGATTGAATCCTTCTCTCACCAAAGACATCCTGCCTCCTTATAAAACACTGTCTAGCCGGTTATCCACTCCCAGCTGCTATCTGTCCTCTTCATGCCTTGTAACTACATCGTGAAGCAACCTGGGTGGCTGAACTGGCACCAAATGCCCAGCTGTCACTGACTGAGTAGATACTGCGCTCAGGAAATAGTTTCCACTTAGCAGCAGTCAGCAAACAGCCTTGACAAGCCTACAAGTCCAGATGTTAATAAATCCTGGAACTTTATTTTTCACAGATTTTGGTCCACAAAATTTAAAAGTATATAATTTTAAATATATACATCCTTGAACCCTCTTACTGAGTACCTGGAAAAGTAAACATATACCCACACTGTAAATAGAGATGTAACAGAGAAATCCATCCACTTCTCCGCTAACTGAACTATGACAGTACCTGCCACGCTGTAAGACAAGAAGTGCACATAAGGTGTCCGCAAGGCTCTATCTTCACGTCCTTGTCATTCTCTGCACAGATTTTACACAGCTGAAAAGTGGAACCCATTTCACAGTACAATTCATACTGCTCCTGTAACAAAAGAAAGTCAGGTGATTATTTCTTTACTGTGATTTGTTCACAAAGAATACACTTAAGCACCAGTTGTGACAAACATTTCTTTGAGTCCCCTGTTTTCCAAACCACTTTACTTATTAGTCAAGGAAACTATTGCTACTGATCCTTTTAAAAGCCACCCTAAGGTTACTGAAACACCTGACTTTTTTGCTTCATTTAATTTATGATATACTACAATACATGCTACAAAAAAGTTTAAAATATCTGTGCCTACTAGGTTTTCTTCAGACTTCTCACATATAACTACTATGCAAGTCATACAACCTACCTTTCCTTGGTTGCAGTTAAGAAGATAAGGAATGCGTGGTTTTAAGTGAGAAATTAAGGGATGAATGGGAACAAAATCGGGATTTCCTTTTCTAGTTATGAGTTTAGGACTAATAAAAATTAGTGGATTGAAAACTGACAAGCGAGAGGGCTTGTTATCTACAGCAAGGACGTAGTATGGTGAACTAAACAACCCTTGTGAAGGAAGTATGGCAAGAATACCCTCAGGATAACCCGGCAACAGTAATGCACAGATCATTCAGTACTCTGTATTCTTGCAAGACTGACAGGAAGGTGTAAGAACACCGTCAGAAGGAATAATAGATAAAACTTGAGTCCTGAACAGTTTTCTAGAATTAGGTATTGTTGGGGAATTGGCAATCAAATGCATTTGTGTGGAAACAAAGCCTTTTTTTTTAGTCTTGAAAACCCAAATTTTGAAAGCTTAAAGTAAGTAGAATACAGGTCACAGGAAAACAAGCAGCTACTGCTGAGAAAAAGGAGGGGACGTGAGGCTACGAAAGAGAGAAAATAAAAGAGACAGCTCATATCTGCAGCTGTAGTCAGTAGGTACCAAAGACGCTTACGGTGGAGCTCTTGCAAAGAATCCATCTATAGCAATCTAGCCCTGCAGCCACTTCAATACCATCTTTTCATAGTTTAAGTAGCAGAAGTGACAGCTTTAAACTACTGCAGTTATATATTATTTAAGGAATCATTCACATAGTTACCATCGGAATTAACTAATGGTGTCCTCATATCTACAAGTTCAGAACCAACGGGATTCATTCAGTGAATTCAAAATACAACATGATTGACTGAAGAACAAGGTAATAACCGAGAATGTCTAAGCTGCTTTTCTTTTCCTTGAGGAAAAGTAAAGGATATGAGGCTAGAAAATCGTTCTGTGCAACACCAATATCTGATATCTCTGCGTTTGTCTTTCATTACTATTTTAAGACTGGATGGAAAAAAGGGAAGTCAGATAAGTGGAAGTACTCAGACTTTGTTCGGGTGATTGTTTTGACGAATTCTCTTACTTAGGAAATAGATATTTTCATAATGGTATTCCTGATAGTACCGTATATGGTGACGAACACTTCTTTTCTAAAATATTTCTGGAGGTGGATGCACATAGAGCACTCAGAATTACAGAAGACTCAGCAGGTCATCCAGCCTGCCCTGAAGAAATGGAAGACCATCAGAAACAGTATGGCTTGTACCTAGTCTGATGTCTTTCCTTGAACAAATCCTCAAGTCTTCCAGGTGGTTTTGTCAGGAAAAATGCTCTACACAGTACACCTTAACCTTCTAGTGTTAATTTCAGCATAATTTTTAACCAAGTATTTGTCTTGTGGTGGCTACTTCCTATTACTTGAGTATCAAACATCTGCATGTTAGTTTATCATATCATCACTTAACAAGACTCCAAACACATCTAGATATTCTAATTTTCTCTGCAAAGTGACACTCTTTAGGTACTTATATAAATAATTATTATTATATAAATAAT